TAAGTGGGGGTAAGCAGCTGTTACTCACTTTCTCAAAACTGAGAACCATGCTCAGGAAAGCTTACATGCACCTGAAACAGGAGAAAACAGGGAGCCCTTTTCTGTCTCAGAAGAACAGAGAAGCACTAACTAAGGTCCTCTGGGGCTTCGTCTGATCATCCTTACTTTTGTTGGGTTGGTTTTTCCTGTTAGTGAGTACTCTAATTCAAAGGATCCTATAAGGCTAGATTGCCAAAGCAGATCTTCTCAAACACTTACACTCTACTGACACTTACTTGGACCTCTCACCGAGGGCCTCAAAGTGAGCCTGTGTTCTCATGGAGGACAGAGACCCTGGCCACATTTCATAGGAGCTCAGATTCTTCCAAACATCCCACTGGAGTATTTCTGATCAGGAATCTTCTTGCATTTGGACTCATCCATTTAGCAGGGAAACTAGTACCCAGAGCATGGACATGCACTGCCCCATGGCTGCATCTCCTTATCCCTACCCAAGGCCAACAGCCAATTCCAGCCTACATTCTCTGGGCTCAACTTTCATGTCTAGCCAAAGGACACAGAGTCAGCCAAGCATTTCCCAAGCCACTTTCTCTTGCAGTTGAAGCCCAAAGCCAGAAGCTTTTCATTCTCTGCACAGAGCCCCTCTTGTAGCCCAAGCAAGCCTCAGCTCCATACCCAGGCCTAGGCCCACGTGGGTACACATGCACACAGGTCACTGTGGGCCAGGGAGAAGACACACCCATAGCCACCTCCCACACTAAGAAGGAACCCAACACAACAAAAGAGCAAGCTGTGGGGAACCAAAGGAAAAAGATAGACAAAGAAAATTGGAAAAACAAACCAAAACTATGATGGTTTTACCCTAGTTACAAGACAGGCCAGCCAGGACATACCTGTTGAGCAGGGCCCCACAGCTGTTCACAGGGATGGCCAACAAGGTCTTCCATATCCTCAGGGCCTTGAGCAAGTGTCACTTTGGTTTATTCCAGCAGGTGCTATTGGAGACATAAAACAAAGTGCCTGGCAGGCACTAATATATATACATATATATATATACATATATATATATATGTATATATATATATAGGTATATATATATATATATATATGTATTTTTTTAGGTAGAAGCAGAAACACAGGAGGCTTGATCATCCAACAGGCAGTTAGGTGGTTTTGTGGGGTTTTTGTAACCAGGGGTGAGGGGAGTATGATGAAGTATCACCCTTCCTTGATTCCATGAGTGCAGCCTTGGCTTGCTCTGTCTTTGCTGAGCCATGACTGTGGCTTATATTCTATTCCTGTGTTTAGACATTGCTCTTCGCCGGTTGCAAAGTGTGGATGACCACGGCAACAATGGAACAGCAGCTCTGCAGAATGGAGGAGGCGGCTGCTGGTCAGGCCAGCACTGGAAGGAGGCCAGACACAGAAGGGCCAAGCTTCTCTGGGACTGCTGCCATTTTTCTTACAAGCAGAGAGGAAGATGGAGGGGTCAGGGAGGACACAGGGGGAGGGGTCCAACTCCATAGGCATCACCTTCCCATTGAGGAAATTCTCCCCCCAGTGGCTTGCTTCTAAACAGGATATTACTTTGATTTCGTTTATTTCCCTTCTCTTTCTCTCTCTCTCTCTTTCTCTCTCCCTCAGAAAAGTCTGACTCTAATAATAGCTAGCATATATAAATAATAATTTTAATATTATTGGTTCTTTGCTTCCAAACCCAGCATTCCTCTCCTCTTCGTTTTGCCAATAAATACCAAAAAAAAAAAAAGAAGACGGAGGAAATCAACTCTGCTCATGTCAAAAAGTTCCCTTCTCCCCCCAACAAAGAAAAAAAAAATCCATCTAACTTCCTAATTTCTAGGGAAAAGAAACAGCACATCTTCATCTTTTGTAGTTTTGCTTTGTTTCAGTAGTTTGTGCTTCTGTTGTACATACCCAAAATAGAGGGATGGCAAGGGGAGGAGGGGACACGTGGACCATGGGAGAAAAGAGCAAGGAGAAAGGGGGAACCCTAAGTTGTCTTTCATTTAAAAATATATATTAGAACCAGAACAATGACCAGAGTCAGAAGGGGGGGTGGCTAAATGGCCAGACAGTCTGTCCCAGGGGCTTAGCAGCTGCCCTTTTTATTTGCTGTGGGTGAGCCCCGGCCACTGCGGCGTCCCCGGCAGGAGCGAGGCTCTTCCAACTCTTCCTCATCAAAGCCGTGGAAAGTTGAGGTGTCACTTTCAGACGTGGAACCGAATAAGTCCTCCGTGGTGTGTGCTGCAGCCGCTGCCTCCTTCTCCTTCCTGCCTTCTCCTCCCAAATGAGCTGACATGTATGATGAATATATCAGCACATGGGTTAAGCAACACACAGCATCATTAATATTCTCATTACGTCATGACAGTGTCATTTCTAATAGCAAGGTAATAGACCATTGAGGGTCACCAAGAGGGACTAAGCAGGTTCATCACCCAGGGTTCTGGATTTGGGACCCAGCACACATTTCCAGGGAAGAGAACCCCACCCCCACTCCCCATCGCTTCTCTGTAAAGGCCTTCCAACAGCAAGAGAGGAAATATGGTCTCGCTCCTCTTCTGCATGCACACTCACTCAATCCTGCCTCCCAGTGCTTTTCCTTAGTGGGTTTTAAGCCTTGTTGGTATTTCTTTGCTGTTTCCATTGGTGTTTCTTTGAGCACTGTTTGTCTGTCACTTTGACAGTCAGCTTTACAAAGGTATTACTGTCAGAAAACCCATTCAAGGTGGTTAAACCTCCATCCATTTTATTTTTATTGGTACCCACTTTCTAATCCCCTTCTCTCAGAGCCCTTTCATTCTACCCTTACACCATGTCACTCATTTACACTGAAAGCAAAAAAGAAGTTGGAAAGTCTGATAAATGGTCGATAACATTTTCTTGAACCACTGGAGGAAAGGTCTGTGATCTGTATTCACACACAAATGCAGCCATGCATGTACACACACACACACACACACACACACACAGCTATTAAACATCCCCAGATCTCCGTTATTCCAGAAAGTTTAAATTGGTAAATTTAACTCTGAACATCAAGAAGGTGAGAAATTGGGATTTTTAAACCCCTAATAAAATACACAATGCTGAAAGCTGTAAAGCTCGGGTTTTGACTTTCTCACATTCTTTGGGCTCCACCTAAGGCAGGGATGTACCTGTTAAAGTGTCAGATTGGACATTCTACCTTCCTCCAGGGAACACAGGCAGCAGCGCAGACAGGCAGGGAAAGAAACACAGCTCAACCAAACTCACACTACTCTCTGGAAAAACCCCAGAGAGGCCTCAGAGAACTATCCACCCACCTGCCTGAACAGTTACACCCACAGACTCACACCGCCTGCATATTCCCAAGGTATCAAACTATTTCAGGAACCTCCAAGTCAGATCTTAAGTGATCCACCAAAATTAACCCCTGGTAATGACACTGAAAATATCTACGCTGGTATAAAATGACCCCTGAAGCAGTCAGAAAGAACGTGAGAAAGAGTAGCTGAATGAGATTATGGAGAGGCTTGGTATAGAAAAATGAATAAATAACACCTTCCCACTTCAGCTGCCCATAGATTCTAGTGCCACCATCTCTTGTAGAAAAGGGGGAAATTATGGAAGTTTGTAATGAGGTTCCTTAAGATGCTCTCGAACCAGAAAACAGGTCTCTAGCCTGCCCAAACCTGTAGCAGTCCATAATATCCTGCTTAGAGCATCTCCCCATCATGTGACCTTGCTTTTAACAGTAGAGATTTTGTCGGACTGCTGCTCTTACTAAGCACTGAATTGTTTTAGTTTTTCTTCAAGTGTCTAAAAACCAAAGCCCACTACTATCACAGGGGCCATCTTCCAGGTAGCACTGATAGAATAAAAAGTTCAACATCAAGTATCACGTTTGGACCATAAGCAACAGAATGGCACAAAAGAGCCACTCTAGTAGGGTCTTTGAGAATTAAGTGCCAAGAGTTGTATACAATGGAAACCAAGTCCTTTTCCAATTAGCAGTTTGCCATTCAAGGCAATCTCAAATCCTAAACATCCCTAGCATCATAAATCATAAAAGAGCTGAAGGTAAGACTGGCAGACATGGCAAGGAAGAACTGAATCACTGTGACAAGCCAACATGTAATAATCTCCATCTTCTCTTGGGATGAATGGAAATGGTAAGTCTAGATACTGTTATCACAAGAAGTAGGAGAAATGGCTCCACCTAGAACCATCCACCCAACCAACTTATTTCCCCTACTGGTCAGCAGCTGGTGAGCCCAAAGAAAGACAAGACCATCTGAAATCCTCCCTGCCTTCTGTTTTGCTCCAGTAATGACACAGAACAATAGGAAATACAGGCAGTACCAACCAACCATGCGCAGGCAAAAATCATGGTATAACCAAAACCACAGCGAAGACCTAAGTTCATTTTCAGAAGGACGGAAAAAGAGCAAAATTTTTTTTTTGGTGTTTCAGTCTTTGAATGGTTTAGAGATGAAAACTGTAGGCCAAGTCAACTCCAGATTAGCCCCCACGAATGTCTGCCTTGTGTCTCCCATATTTATTTGTCTTTTTGTTTTACTGGCCCAGATGACAAAATGGGATGCATAGCCATTGGAGGAGGGAGTGTTGATGTCACTACCCAGAAACCCAGCAACCTCTGGCTCCCACAATTCCAAGGTGTGGCTACCTTCCCAATACTCACAGAGAAAAAAAAAAAAAAAAAAAAACCTTTCATTGCATGTGCATCATCCAATTCAAGGAAGCATTTTCCTGTATTTCCAGGTATTTCCCACTCTTACCTAACTATGGGCTATAGCAAAACACAAAGGAGAGTTTTCCTCATGGAAAGCCCCACCCACCCAAGTCAAAACGTTCTCTGCTTGAAGTCATTGCCACTGTACTGTCCCACACCTCCCCAACCACGAGATGGTAAAGGAATGCAAATGGAAGACTTCTCTGGACTACGGGCACACAAGGCAGGAAGGGGCCACACTCACCAGAACGTCCACAGTCAGCACATGACACCAGCTCCTCGGGCCGCCCGCTCTTCTTGTTCATGCTAGAACCCCCCAAGCAGAAGTCACAGTAGTTATTGGGAATGACCGTCCCATCTGGTCCTTTCTGGGCTGTGGAAACATTTAAAAAAAAAAAAAAAGGAAAGAGAAAAAGAAAAATTCCAGTTTTAGGCTGAGACGTGTTCCCCCCACTCCCTCTTCTCTTTTTTGTCCTGGTGTGGCAGAATCTACTCCAGCAGGAATAGGAAGTTTAGTATGCAAGGTTTTGTGACAACCAAGATGCGATGGTGGTCTTGTTTTCTTTCTGATCTTTCTTGGTTCCAATACTTTACAAGCCTCGCAGAGTGTAATTGTTACAACTTCCCTCAGCTCTATGTTTTCCCAGAAGCCACCTGGGTCCTATGATTGCATGTCTGGATGAATATCCAGAACCATCCAAAAGAGACTTACTAGTGCAATTGAACTCTGAATCCTACAGAACCAGCCCTCCAAGCCAAAGCCCCACACATCAGATGTGGATTATAAACAGGAGTGAACAGAGAGATCGAGAACAGTCACCATCTAGATCTAGATTTTGAGAAAGATGTTCTTAGTTAGGAGTTCCTCTTCCTGTTTCTAAAAGGAGAATGGAGAAGTCTTAGTATGTGGGCATTTCTAGAATGTACACTGGAGATGCTGTTAAGGATAATGGTGAACACCCTTACAGGAACATAGGTATTTGCTCTCATTCAGACTCATCTCCCTGAAATCCAGACTTGTTGATTATCAGACACTCAGTAATCTTCAGACCCTAGAATCAGATCTGGACACATGCTTACTAAACATTCAGCTCAGCTGCACACCAGAGATGGGTCCAATGAGTTAGTGAGCAAGAGTTTAGGCTTAAGACCCTCACAAGTAACAGAACACACCATGTTACAAGTCCTTAAACAAATGCAAAGAAAAAATGTTGGAACAAAGCCTGAGAAGAATAGCACATGTCTTTGAGTATCAGAATCATTTTGAATTCAAAAAGCCTTGGATGGGTCCTTTGCATGGGAAAACTGCTTCCATTTCCTGTCTCTCTCTCTCCTTGTTACAGGGACTTCTTCGCCACCTTCATACCCTCTGATTGTAACTAAAAAGACAAGTCTCTCTACTTGTGGGATTAGCTTTAACCACCAAGATGTCTTCCTACTCAGCATCCCCAATGTCTGTGGCTATTTTTCATTATTCACTGGCTAACATTAATCAGGGTCCCATAGGGTACAAATCTGTGAAAAGGAAGCAGATATGTGAGCAGAAATCCCCGGCAGACAGTAAGTGATAAACGGATTCACCCACTTTAATATGATTCCCTCTGGCCCTCGCTTCCTCCATGCTTCTGCCTTGCCTCCAGGAATAGAAAACTTACCTGGGGAAGTAGGAAGACAAAAGCTAGCAGAATTATATTACAGAGGACTAACCCATTTATCAGTTGCTGTTTGGATTGCTTAATCAGTTTCTAAGTCATTGATTTCCATCTTTAGGGAAGCAGGCTATGCTCTGCTAGAAAAGTGTTAGCTGTTTGGGGGAGGCAGAGGAGTTGCCCCCCATACACACACACACTTGGTGGTCTGTTGAGTATGGGCTTTCTTTCTCTGGTCATGTGAACACCAAAACATCTGCATGGCACACAAAATGGCTTTCCAAATAATCGCCAAACACCAGTACAGCCAAAAAGAAAGTATTATTCTGCTAATAAATTGTACCTTGCCCAGTGCTCCTTTCTTTCTTTCCCATTCAACTGACATCTCTGCTATTTTTATTTGCTTCCTAAAAAAATATAAGCATGTCTAAGAAGTAAATAAATTCATGGTTTCCTCATTAAGAGACAAATAGAAATCTATCAACTGGTAAATGTAAATTAAAGATGGTGTATATTAAATTTAGAGGCTAGGGGTAAACCAAAGCTAAGTTTCACAATTGATATGAGCTGGGTATAAAATACACAGATGTCAATCACAACTTAGGGAACTCACTACATAAAAGTGATCAATAAATCCCATGTGCCTAATGTTCCTCCCCACCCCACCCCAAAAAAATCTCTCACTCCAGTTTCCTCATCTGTCTCTCTCATACGTTTTTAGGGATTTCCTATAGGCCTAATTTGTTCCCAGTTCACAAAATCTTCAAGCGACCAAATAATATGATGGTCTCCAATAATCCTGTGATTGTATAAGGACGAGGAAGTAAAAGAGAATGAAAGAATTTCCAGAGAACTCTTTACAGTATTCACCACTAAGTGACCATGAGTTGAATACATTCTTGACTAAAGAACTGCAAGGAATTAAAAATTCCGAAATTCTGGGTGCTGATGGCTCATGCTTCTAATCCTAGCTACCCAGGAGCTGAGATCTGAGGATCATGGTTCGAAGCCAGCCCAGGCAGGAAAGGCCATAAGACACTTATCTCCAATTAACCACCAGAAAATTTGAAGTAAAGCTGTGGCTCAAAGTGATAGAGCACTAGTCTTGAGCAAAAAAGCTCGGATAGGGTCTAGGCCCCAAGTTCAAGCCACACCACCAACAAAAATAAAAATAAAAGGCTGGGAATATGGCTTAATGGTAGAGTAACTCGCCCTAGTAACTTGCCCTGGGCTTGATTCCTCTGTACCATATAAACAGAGAAAGCTGAAAGTGGTATTGTGTGGCTCAAGTAGCAAAATTCTAGCTAGCCTTAAGCAAAAGAAGCTCAGGGACAGGACCCAGGCCCTGAGTTCAAGCCTCAGGACTGGCAAAAAAATTAAATTAAAATAAATAAGTAATAAAAATTAATATTAAAAATCTCAGCAATGATCCATAAGGCAAAGTAGATAATGAAGGAGGAAGTGATTCTCTGTAAATGATTAAACAAACAGAATTTAATCATTTGTAGAAAAAACAATTCTGACACAACAAAGTAAGAGTAGTATCACATATATTTATCTGTGTTTGTCTAAAGGGGTGAGAAGGTGAAAAATCCCACTGGTAGGCCCTGGTGTTTGCAGTAATAACACGCTAGGCTAGCAGGGATAAGGCAAGGTGTGCACTGGCAATTTTCATACTGGCAGTGGCCCAGTACAGCACTACCACTAACACTAACTATGCTTTATTTCCAAAGAAATCCTTTTTGCTTCCATCACTACCCTCTTCTTGCAGTAAGATGTCACGGGACAGACTAATATCTTGTGCGTCTGATTCTGTAGCACTTTTTAGTGTCTAGGGTTAGTTTCAGATCCAAAGTTCTTGCCTGAAGCTCTCCTAGTTCCCAGCTATCAGTGACCAGTCATGCTTTGGGAAGGGCACTCAACATCACTGTTATGACCCCTCTCCTGATGATAAATGTGTACACCTGCTTCATCCCCCACATTAAACAATCATGGACGAATCATTGGCTGGCATCCATGTCTAACTCACTGCTGTAACTCCTATATACCTTGCATGCTAGAAATGTTGCTGACAATTTGTGAGATGAGTGGCCTAGAAAAGGACTGATAGAGATGTAAACAGGTGTCACAGTGGTATCCCCTGGGATCTCCTCCCTGTGGGGACAGAGGCCAGTGTTTGCCAGGGGTAGAGTCATCTGTCACTCTAAATATCACTCACTGCCCTTGGTTTATTTCCTATCTCTTCAAAGAGCTGGTCCATGTCCAAATGGATGGATCAGCCATCTGACTAGTAGTCAAGGGACCTGCATTGCTGGGAGAACAATAATATATATAACTACTAGGGTTTGGGTATGAAATATCCTCTGAAAGGCTGGTGTGTTGAAGGTTTGATCCCAATCCTGCAGTGTTCAGAGGTGGAGCTTTGACTGTATCATGAGGGCTCTGACTGGATTGATGATTTCATCCACTAATGGGTTCAGGTATGAACAGACTTTTGGAAGGTGGTAGCACTATGGAAGATGAGGCCTAGTTGGAGAAAGTGGGTCACTGGGGTGTGCCTTTGAAGGGTAAATCTTGGCCTGGTCCTTTCTGTGTTTATACTTCCCAGCTAGCACAAGGCAATCAGCCCAACTCCCTAGGCCCTCCACTGTACCTTCTACACCAGGATTCTTTGGTTCTCCACATGGAGCCAGGTGAGCATGGACTGAAACCTCTGGAACTATGAACAAAAAACAAAATCAAAATCATCTTTTCAAGTATTTGCCACAGCAACAAAAAGCTAACACAACAATCATACAAGAAAATGCATGAGGGGCTGGGAAGGTGGCTCAGTGGTAGAGAGCTTGCCTTGCATGCATGAGGCCCTGGGTTGGATTCCTCAGCACCACATAAACAGAAAAAGCCAGAAGTGGTGCTATGGCTCCAGTGGTAGAGCACTAGCCTTGAGCTGAAGAGCTGAGGGACAGCACCCAGACCCAGAGTTCAGGCCCCATGACCGGAAAAAAAAAAAAAGATAGGAAAAAATAGGAAGTGGAAATGTGGCTCAAATGCTGAAGCACCAGCGTTGAGCGAAAAACCAAGGCAAGAGTACAAAGCCCTGAATTCAAGCCTCAATACCAGCACAAAAAAGACAGAGAGACAGAGAGAGAGAGAGAGAGAGAGAGAAGAAGGATACATAAGGATACATATATCTACTATAGCACAAATCTGTAGTCAAACTTACACTAAATGCTTTACATTCACTATCTCATTGATCCTTACAGAATCTTTGTAAGCAGGAGTTGACAGATAAGTATCTGAAATCCAAAGAGATTAAAGTGCTGCTCCAGGCCCCAGTTATGAAGAGAAGGAGACAAGATTTATCCCCCATTGTTTGTATCCCCAGAGATTCTGCCTCTAGTCACACATTCTCTGCCTCTCAGGAAGTCTACAGGCAAACATTTCCTGGCCATACCTTGCATATCAAGCATTTCATAAATCACTTTAGAGTCAACTTGAATTCACCTAATATGTTATTTATGAAGCCCAAAGTGGTAAAAAAAAAAAAAATTAGGATTGCCCTGATAAAAGCAGAAAGTCCCTTTGAACTTAAATTTAATGTTTCTATCACAATAATCTATCCTGGATGACCCTGTTTATTGTCATATACACTTCTCTGGAGAATTTCAGAGACTCATGAAGGGATGTTTTTAAGTCAGGTGCACACCATGACTAGATTGGCCTA